CCATAGACGACAATGTTAACATATGACGAGATTGCTATATGAAAATGACGAAGAAAGTTGAAAATATGGCTCAAAAATGGGAAATCAACATGCCAGTAATCAACCATATGAAAAAAAACTAACATGTTGACCAGCTCAAACTCTTGCAAATCTCAGGTAAACAAGACACACCTACTGTATTTGGATTGCACCATGAGAAATCACTGGAAAAACACCAAGATTAGAACAAACCCACAGATACACAGCCGCTAAGTAGTAAACAAAAGACCACAAGTTGGTCTCACCTCTGACCCAGGTGATTACGCCCTCAAACAGCCATTGGTTAATTAGTGGCATAGACCTGGTTCACGCGTCACACGTTCTAGTCGATAGTCCGCCAGATGAAACGTACAGTATACTGCTGAGTGCATGTTTCTATCACACACATAGACGGCCGTCAATATACAGTAAGTTGTAACAGTTGTTTTTACTTACTTTACCTATCGTAGCTTTGTTCAGCGTACACGGGTGGTCGAAGGGGGACGTTCCAATTCTAGTACACTGAAGTTCACTAATTGAAATACACTTTGTGGTTGATCCGAACTCATGTACATTTCATAGCGGGCGATCACCAAGCAAATGTCCAACTGGTAATAGGGTGAATTTACCATATTTTGTGTAACCTATGTGATAATTCAGCGCTCGTATTTACATCGCAATGGCCTTGATACGATTGCTGGTCTAGGGGAATTACTAGTATTAACACATCTCCAACAATACACACAGTGATAATGCGACCAGACGCGATTACTACTTGTTTAGACTTTGATGTTATGTTTTCTCGCATTGAGGGTGGGAAATTTGAACGTTTTTATGTACGCTACAAATAACAGATCACCTGGTCGATCGGACAGAGCTTGTTCGCGAATAAAACATCAAAACGAGGAGTTGTCCGATTTGTTAACAACGCAGTACGCAGTGGTAGACATAGTACACATATTTAGTGTGTAGGCGGTTTGACGATATGGAATTTAATATTTATTTACAATATAATATCGACCTCGTGACGCACATGGCGACAGTGAATGTGATTATAGTAAATCGACATAGTTGAATGGCATGAATGGGACATTTGTATTTCACGTGATGCCCATTTTTTTGTTTTTCGCTCACCACTCTACGTCACGGCATTCCAACCAATCCGGTGAATGAAACGAACATGGACACGTGTTGAACGAATCATTGTGTAGCAATTAGATTATGTCACAAGTGACATAAAATGATGCAATTTAAACTTCTGTACCCATCTATACGTAATATGGGACGTTTGAATAAAAAAAAATGGGTGATACAATGCCATCGAAACTATTTAAAGAATGATTTTTATTAATTAACCATTTCGGACACAGAGAACATTAACCTGAATCATTGGCTCTTGAATTGAACACAGACAGTATACTGAACAGAGTATATATACACTGTTACTTTTAACTACTGAAAATACCTCTTTATTGTAGAAATAAATGTACAGCATGTGTATGTACTCTTAAACCTTCTATCTCATATTATAAAATAAACTATATTAAGCTACAGTCAAATAAGTATAAAAACATTGTTTCAGATTACAGTGAATTTCATAAAAGCGTGAATGTTTTTAATGAAATTTTAGAAAGCATCGATCCTAGGAGAACCTATCTTTATTGCGATACAAAAAAAAAAAAAAAAAATTCACTCTTTCATTATCCGTAGAAGCTATTTGGTAACGTCCATTACCTATTTGTGTGTTTCCGAACGTTCTATGTTGCTAAGACGCATACCACTGTACCACGTATTTCTACGGGCTTTGCGCAAGCTGCAGTTGAGAAAACAACTCAAGCTCAACTATGAAGCAATCCTGAGTCCGGGTAATCAAATTGATATATGTTGCACCTGTAGGAGTAATCTTGTTACACTGTTCAGGAAACTCTAAAACAACTATCCCAAAGCACAGTTTTCTGAGAGTTGCCTTTGTTTTCAACATGATGGATGTCCCCGAGAATAGATTAGAAGAATCCCAATGAAAAGCTGTAATTAACTAGTAACAAAAAACACTATTTGGTAAATTAAAAACATTACTTTACAGGAATATGAGAATAATATGCTAAAGATAGATTTTCATAGATCCAGGTCACCCCCACCCCACCTCTACCTCCTGATCTTATTTTGACCAAAGACATACTCTGTTATTTTCTTAAATGCATGCACCACTGAAAAAGCAAATATAGTATTTTCATTAAAGTTGGACCACCAGGAATTGTATCAAAATTATTTGCTTCCTTGCATATTTACTGACGGGTAATGGCTACCATTATTACAGCGTTTAAGATCATCAATATTACTATCAAACTATTCTTTTTGCACATCCTGGGTAATTGTCTGTATTCTGTCTGCAGTCATTAGCTCCGATACAAATGTTTCACTGTCCTGTCTTGTTTAAAGCGGGGGAGTCGTCACCTGCGTATGCATCAGATGGCCATAGCGTGTCATTGTGTACAAACAAGCGTCTACCCATGAGCCTTTGCATTTTAGCGTGTGTTGTTATCGTCGCTTGAGACTCGATTCCCGCGCGTGTGCAGGTGACGACCCTCCCGCTTTAACTATTTAACATTTTACACATTATATTTACCACCAAAATGTTGATTCATCATTTGCGCATTATTATGTACTGTAAAATACTACATTTTAGCTTGAATTCATTTTCGCTGAAAAGGCATTTTTGGTGCTTTGTATGGAATTTATTTTCACTGATTTTTGACAAGTTGAATGTAAAATATAGGAAAAAAGGTATATTTGCTGGATTTTATTTTCACTGAATCATTCCTTCAGCGAAAATAGCGAAAATTAAATCAAATCGAAAATAAAGTATTCTACAGTATTTTTCTATAAATTATACCTTAATTTTGAAACAATTAAACATACAGGACTTGATCATCATTTTTGTGATTATTTTTTTTTTAAAGAAGTGACAAAGATCAACTTTACCATCTAAGGGTCAATAGTCCCAGGGGTTTGTCTCATCATGTAGGTATATTATTTTTGTGCATAGTTACAATCTTCCCATAGAAGATTCCGTGCAGATTCACAATATTGTAATTCACCCACAATGCAGTCTGTTTACCTGAGAACATTTGACAAGTGAAATTAAGGTGACAATTATTTATGAATAACGAGTCTATAATGTCAATAATTGAATAATTGAGAACCAAAAATTCATCATTTCTCATATGTGTAGATGCTCTAATAGTAGCCACATTCCCTCTGTTGCATTGTACCATTTTAATAGAAGCTGCGGCTTTTAATACAGATTTTACAGTAGTCTTGTCGGTTTACAATTAGCATAAAGAAGTGTGAATTTACAAAACTAAATCACTTCCCTTAACAACGGGTCACATGACCAAAAGTGGTATAAGTACACACAAGTATCAGGTTAGTAAAAATAAGAATGGTGGGTTTTTAGCACACAGCAAAAAAAATTACAAACTTGCAAGTTTCACAAATCAAGTACATAGTATATACTCAAGTATGAAGTTGACAGATTCGTACAGTTCATATGCGGTTTATACAAACTATAGTCTATGAGGAGACTCTAAATTTGAAGACAATGGTAGGTAGATCCTGATAATGAGACAATCACTCAATACAGAGAAATTTTTTGACCATCCAAGGATGTGCAATTTATGATGTCAAGTTCGTATTTTGCCTTTTCACAACCAGACTTTCACACCCAAATTTTTCTGCACTTTCTTCTCTTCTTCTTCAGTATTTCTGGAAATGAAGCCTAATTTTGAAGCCAACAGACAAAATTTGACTATTTTTGTCTGAATTTTCTGAAGGAAAGTGCAAGAATATAAATGGGACTATTTTGTGATGAAAAGGAGAAACTTGAGTGGTGAAAAGGTTAGAACAGCCCAACTGCATATGTACATTCTGAGAGTTGGTTAGCAATATTGAAAAAAAAAATCACCTTTGAACAGAATAAAAATCTTCTGATTAGGAGATTTTCTTTCAATATTTAGACTTGATTTGCTGACAGAAAATTGATTGGTAGATTTGTCAGGAATGTTGTCATTGATACTCGTACTATAAAATTTGTATTAAAAGCCGCGGTTTCTATTAAAATGGTACAATGCAACAGAGGGGATGCGGCGTCTATTAGAGCATCTACACATATGAGAAATAATGAATTTTTGGGTCTCAATTATTCAAAAAGAATTGGTGCGGCTTCTATTAGGGATGCGGCTTCTAATACAGATTTTACGGTAACAGGAGTTTCTTGTTAGTTTTGAAATAATCCCTATTTTTAGGAATACTGCTTTGCTGGTTGTTAGCCATACTATTTTATTTTATTATTAATAAAAGTAAAAATTTATATGTATTATAAAAATTCTTGTCTCAACGGCTTCCCAGCAACTGTGTGCATACCTGACAATCTGGAGAACAGAAATTAATCTTGTACATATGTCAGATCTTTAGTTTTACTTTTATTTGAGTCATAAAACTATATATTTGAAGGTTGTTTTTTTTTTTTATAAAAGGCCACACTGATTTAATTTTATGGATGACATCCTCTGGAGGCCCCAAAACTAATGCGAGAGGGCGAAAAAAAAAAAAAACCTGCCAAAAAAAAAAAAAATGCTGCTAAAACCACAGGACTGCAAGCTGGTATTACGAATTGAACCACAGAACACAGTGTATCAAAAAAACAACAACAAGTCTTTATTTGTAGGAGGCACATGTTGATATACACATCTCGTACTGTATTACTGTCACAGGTATAACCATTTCAAACAAGCTCTAGTACATGTAGTCATGAAGTACCTTCAGTCAGAAACACTGCATTCAAGGTACAGCATGAACACCATTTTCAGTACAAGTCAAGGCGGAATGTACATATCACTACTTTATGACAATAACTAACAAAACATTGCAATGATACAGAAATGTCCTTGCTTGCTCCTCTCTACACACCTCGGGTTAGCTTTAACTGAGTTGTCAGGTGAAATGAAGCCTACATGTTAACCCTGCAAGTATGTCTAGTGTCTCATGTCTAGGGATCTCAACCTCAAGTATCAAAAAAAAAAGAAAAAAAGATCTCTTGCACTCCTCTACACCCCACACATCGATCTCTTCAACAATAGGTCTTTTCTTCCTTCTCAGCTATCACATCCCTAGGCCACCATACACCTCCACTCCTATCCCATTTCTCTCATCGTTGCATCGCGGGATATGTCCTTATAGCTGTGTAAACGTCACATCTCCCTGGCCGACGTCAATTGCGTACCAGTCTACAACAATCCCTCCGTTTCTCCTCTGAACTTTTATGCTCACGTATTTTGGTGGCATGGTCGCCATGCTGGAATTCCCGGCAACACAGTACGCATGTGCAGAAGATCATTTACGACATAAAAACTGACACGTTTTGAGGTAG